AACCATGACAAAATTATTAAAATAGTGTATTAGAATTAAATTTACAAAGCATTTTAAAAGATGAGCAAGAAGGAAAGAGTAAGAGATAGGACTTGGCCTTGCTTAAATAAGCTTAAATATGTAACAATGCCTTAAGATTTAAACCTAGGTTTGAACCAGTATACAAGCTTTTTTCAATCACAAATTTGATTGAGCATAAAACTTTTTTTTAAAACCTACTTATTAGCTTAAAAAGTATGCTTTAAAAAGCTTTTACTAAATTTTAAGCTTACTGAACATTATCAGCAATGCTCAGTCATTCAATCAGAAAAATATAAATTACAATATAATAATATAAATTAAATGTAGTTAATATATAAATAAAATATATATATATATATATATATGACTAAATAAAAAAGCTCAAATAGGCTAATAAAATATTATATATATATATATATATAAAATTAAATAGCCTTTTACTCAAATAGGCTATGTTTATAGGCTTGCATTGAGACCTTAAAAAATAAGCACGGTCAATTTAGTCAAATAAACTTTAAAAATAGATCTATTTAAAAATAGACTAAGCTAGGTTTTGATTAGTCCAAGTCATTAGTCGCCTGGTCGGAGGCTATCTCATTTCCACCCTAGTTGCCAGCACGATAAGTAGTATGTTGAGGAAGAAGAACGTGTCATTTTCCCAAAAAAAAGATGGAAACTCAGAGGGCCCTTAAAAATAGTATGGAAAACAATAAGTCAAGACCTTCATGCAACTCCAACACAATTTTGCACAACCAATCAAAATCCCCCTCCTCCCTCTTCCCTTGCTATTTCAAAGCTCACCCCAAAAACAATTTTTTTTTCCCAACCCATTCTTTCTGTTTTATAAGATAACATTCACTCCTCAATTTTCCCTTCATCCTTGTTCTCTGACCATTTCTTCATTTTTCTCTCGAGGTTCAAACAATGCGTGAAATCCTCCACATTCAAGGGGGCCAATGCGGCAACCAGATTGGAGCCAAGTTCTGGGAGGTTGTCTGCGCTGAGCACGGCATCGACCCCACTGGAACCTACAACGGCCATTCCGATCTTCAGCTTGAGAGGATCAATGTCTACTATAATGAAGCCAGTTGTGGAAGATTCGTGCCCAGGGCTGTGCTCATGGACCTCGAACCCGGAACCATGGACAGCGTCCGAAGCGGACCTTACGGTCAGATTTTCCGACCCGACAATTTCGTTTTCGGCCAGTCCGGCGCCGGAAACATTGGGCAAAGGGTCACTACACTGAGGGTGCCGAACTCATCGATTCAGTTCTCGACGTGGTGAGGAAGGAAGCAGAGAACTGCAATTGCTTGCAGGGTATATACGTTAATCAGTTTCTTCAGGATCAACTCAAGAATGCCATATATGATATATTATAGGAACGTACGAGACTAGAGAATATATTATTTCGTTTCTGATGTGATTTTGCAGGTTTTCAAGTGTGTCATTCTCTGGGCGGAGGAACAGGGTCGGGAATGGGTACGTGTTGATTTCAAAGGTGAGAGAGGAATACCCAGATCGGATGATGCTTACTTTCTCCGTCTTTCCTTCTCCGAAAGTCTCTGACACCGTTGTGGAACCATACAATGCGACGTTGTCCGTTCACCAGCTCGTCGAGAACGCCGATGAATGCATGGTGCTTGATAACGAAGCTCTTTATGACATTTGCTTCCGCACCCTCAAGCTCACCACACCGAGCTGTAAGATTTTTCTTGTTGGATTTCAATCCTCTCAGAAACTGATCATGTTTATAGAGATTCTTGATTCAAACTGTGTTAATTTTTCTACGAAACAGTTGGTGATCTGAACCATCTGATATCAGCCACCATGTCTGGAGTGACATGTTGTTTGAGGTTTCCCGGTCAGCTGAACTCTGATCTTCGAAAGCTAGCCGTGAATCTCATCCCCTTCCCTCGGCTTCACTTTTTTATGGTGGGTTTCGCTCCTCTGACCTCTCGGAATTCTCAACAATACAAAGCTTTGAGCGTACCAGAGCTCACACAGCAAATGTGGGACGCGAAGAACATGATGTGTGCTGCCGATCCAAGACATGGACGATATCTCACAGCTTCAGCAGTGTTCAGAGGAAAGATGAGCACGAAGGAGGTTGATGAACAGATGATCAATGTGCAGAACAAGAACTCTTCATATTTCGTGGAATGGATTCCAAACAATGTGAAATCAACCGTGTGTGATATTCCTCCAACAGGATTGAAAATGGCTTCCACGTTCATCGGAAACTCGACATCGATCCAGGAGATGTTTCGGAGAGTGAGCGAGCAGTTCACGGCCATGTTCAGGAGAAAGGCTTTCTTACACTGGTACACAGGGGAAGGTATGGACGAGATGGAGTTCACAGAGGCTGAAAGCAACATGAACGATTTGGTTTCAGAATATCAACAGTATCAAGATGCCAGTGCTGAAGAAGATGAGTATAGAGACGAAGAGGAACACAATGACGTGTAAAATATGACGTCCACGGATGGAGCTGTTTCCATCTTCTTGTTGCTCCAACAATTGCCATTATTCATTCTAAGCGGCTAGGCGCAGGAATTGTTTCATCAAAATATGAATTCTTTTTATCAACACATTTTGTTGTGTCATCTGATTTTAAAGGTATTTCGATGGGTTATATATTTTAGGGTAACTTCAGGCTGGCTCTCAATCGTAAGGGGTATTCAGATACAGGAGTAAAGAGAACAGAGTTGAGAACCAGAACAGAGGGTACAGGAAGAAATTTTGGTTACATTTTCATAATATTTTTATTTTGAGATTTTTTAAGGAATATATAATTGACTATCAAAATTTCCATGAAGTGATTAATTAGAAGATAGATTTTTAAAAATATATTATCTAAACTTAAATATTCTCATTTATTTATTTAATTGTTAGCTTTTTCAATATCTAAATTACAATAAAAATTTTGGCAAAAAAAAAATTACAATAAAAAATATTCCTCTTCCGGTACCTCCCCTTCTTGAGGCGATGTTAGATCGCTTGCGAGAAAAAGGTGGGAAAAAAAAAAAGAAAAAAACTAAGATCATCCAATATTAAATTTTATATTTCATATTAATTAATAGATTATATTTTAAATAGGAAAAATTATATAAAGATCCCATAGAGTAGACTTATTTATAAATAAGTCTCATAAAATTTAAAAATTACAACCAAATCCTTAAGACTTGAATGTAATTTAAAATTATACTAAAAAAATAATAATATCTCAATTAAATATATATTATATCAATTAAATAATTAATTTTAATTATTTATAATTATTTTATCAATAATTTATAACTATAATTTTAATTTTTTACAGTTATAATTTTACATATCTAATAGGTAAACAATGATGCATTACTAATAAAGTTACCATTAATTATTTACAATTACTTCATCGGCAATTTATAATTATAATTTCATATATTTAATAGTTAAGCTGATCAGTTTAATTATTAAATATATGAAGTTATAATTATAAAAAATTAAAATTAAAATTATAAATTAATAATAAAATAGTTGTAAAATATTTGACTAATGTAATATACATGCATGCATGCATGTTTGCTAGGGACATTATTATTTTTTAAATATCAAATTACACTCAGTCTTAAAAGATTTAATTATAATTTTTAAATTCTACGGTACTTATTTGTAAATATCAATCAAACCTATATATAATTTTTTCTTTTAAATATTTGTTTGACTTGAAAAGACTATGTTGTCTTTTGCCCACCTCTCATTTTCATTGATATATATTCTAATCTATCGACCATTAAAATATGTGAGATATTTATACTTCTTTGAATTCTTTCTAGCATATCGCACCACAAACATAATTATATATCCCTATATTTTATTTCATTTTCATTTCCGTCTTTTTCATCAGTTAAAATTTTCCCCCACTTTTCCAGGTGTAACACTAACATTAGTTTCTTCTCCAATCCTTTCCATGCAAATCAAAAAATCAAATAAAATAAAGGAATGACACCGCACAAGGTCAAGAATATGCTCTCATCTTTTTACTTTTTGTCCAATGTTATATTTCAAACGGCATTACTGGTTACTAATTCGGCAAAGATCTATCTGCACAATGCAGCCTATGAGGTATGAACCGTTTATCATTAGCTAACTATATGCAATCGTTAATAGCAAGTTGGATCTCAATCTGCAAACAGACAACAATAAGTGGAATATAATTTGACATATACTACAATACAATACCAGAACCTGAAAATAGCAAGAAACAATAATGTACATCACAAATGCTTCCCAACCAGATCTACTCCTTACCATCTTTGATGGCTTTATCTACAACTATGCTCACCTTCTTGTATTCGAAATCTACAGGCTGCTCCTTCACACACTCCTCCGGCACCACCGGACGCCGGTTGCCGAAGATGGTCCACAAATACAGCACAACAAATGCAGTCAATGCTCCACATCCACCACCAAATATCATTGCAGCAAGAACTCTCAGAACACAATCACTCCTTGGTTTGACTGTTACAGTTTCAGAATGTTTAGTTAGAGCCTTCAGATCCAGAGGCTCCGAGTGCATCCAGTGTGGAAAAGGCCTTTGATTAAAGCTCCATGAAAGGAGAAGACAAGGTTGGGATTGAAAACTGCTATTCCCCTTCACTGAATTAAACCCCACAAACATTTCACTCTTTTTCCATATCTTTGAAAAGTCTATTGAGTACCAAATCAATGGATCCGAAGGCCTGGAATGACCAAACTGACCAAACCTCACTTCTAAGCGTTGTGAACTTGCTTCGTAATCAATCCAAGTGTGAAGTTTTGCTCCATTTCTTAGAGCCATCCTCACAGAGGAGGTGTTGCGTGTTTTTGCTGGTGCTAAGTCACCCACATCAATGGCCACATTACAATAAGCAGAGCCACCATTTCGACCACCAGACTTTGCGGTGAATTTAACATCGACGACCGTCGATTTTCTTTTGTTCAATGCAGAAGAAGAAATCCCAGATGAACTTTTGTCAAAGACATCATCTTGAGAATCACTCGGAACCATAACAAAGGCCACACCATCCCCATCCACCGACAAGATCGAAAATGCAAAATAAGTGGAAAAAGAAACTAATTGCCTCGGTTTACCTTCCATAAGCTTGATGGGTTTTTTATACATGACTCCCCCACGGCTCTCAGACCCAGAAAGCTCAACCGCTGAACCACCATTGACGACCTGGGAACCGCCAAAAAGGGCAACATTGGACTCAAATTTCAGATCCTTGTCAAAATCGGTGAAAGAGAAGGATGAAATTGGGTCGGAGGCTACGGTTGTGAAGAACAAGAGGAGGAAAGTGAAGGCCGTGAAGTAATGGGAAGTGGAAAAAGCGGCCATAATTGAGGTGGGAATGAGCTGAAAGTGGCTATATGTGGAGCTGCCGTGGATTCTAAAGCTCGTGGGTCGATCCCATTCGGGTGTAAGGTAAATTGCTGGCTAGGGTTGGCGTTGAGTCGAGTGAAAGAAAGAAATTGATGGGAAGTAAAGATTTAAGAATAATCAAAATTTTTGGAACAAGTTGGCGTCGGAATGGGAGTTGTGAAAATTAAAATTTGGCTACTCTGTTTCTGTAAGACCCGTGGTTGGATTTCTCCAGTGCCAGATGACTCAGGGAATAAAAGAATATAATAAATTGCAATTTGTGCTTTATAATTATAATAATTATAATTAAAATTTTATTGATTTGTATGATCCACACGTTATTTAAAAAATAAATAAATGAGAGAAAATTAGCTCGTCTTTTATATACATATATGTACATTGGAAGAGATTTCGTTTTCACTTGTGTTTCATTTCATATCAGGTATGTAAAGGAAAATGAAATTGTAACAACTTTAGCGCCTTCTTTTTTTGTTAATTACATAGTTTTAATTTTATTTTTATTTGAAATAATTTAAATGTAAAACTGTTGTTAGCAATAACTAGCTTATGTAATGGAGGTTTGGATTAATTTAAACAAATAATAATAATATTTTAGGTTTCTTAAAATATTAGGCGACGAAATTACAAAAAACAGACAGTTAACTAGTTGGGAAGGTAAGAAAATGAAAAATAAGGAAAAATAAGTAATTAAAAATTAAATAAGTCATTGAATACATCAAAAAACTAGATCAATAGCTATTAGCTAAAATTATAGTTGAATCATGAGATCAATAAAAATAAAATATTAGATTAAATTAATCAAAATACTAATTTAATAACTTATCGGATTAACTGGTGATTAACCTGATTTTCAATTTATGAAACAAAATGATGGTGAGGGGAAAATTGGAGGAGGTGGGGCATGGGCAAAGAAGAGAGAGAATATTGGAGGGACCACGTTAAAGGAGCACCTTCCACGAGGGGCCTTTGTTTGGGTTGCTTGCTTCCGACACATTCAAAACTGCTCCTTCTGTGGCGCACTGCGCTCCTCCTCCCTTTCGCACGCCACTTTTGCTATCATGCGCCTTCTTCCTTTCTCATTCCTACTTCGTTCCTCGATACCCTCATTTCCGAGGGAGACTAGGAGTGAAGCTGTTATATAGATGACAGTCAACTTAAAATCAATAAATACATGAAAATGATTTTGCAAATGACTTCGTTCCAACCTTGGAAGCTTGGTTCCAAAATCTAAAACATTACGTTAAAGATTAATTCAGTTGTAAGAATTTAGTATAATCCATTATAAAATCAGAAGATTAATTAGTTAACTTCTTCATTATTTGAAGCAGGTCTTCATTTTTAAAAAATATTTTATAATTTATAATTTATAATTGGCGTTTCTACTTCTTTCAGTTTTTAATATAAAGTAAAGCCAATCAATTTTTCACTAATTAAAAAATGTTAGATATGTTTTTAAAGCTATGAAAGAAACATGTAGCTTTCTTATTTTTGCAGTTGTGTTGTGTTGCCAACTTGTTGCTTTATTTTCGCCTTTAAATCTTAATATTCTTCTCTGTAATTTTATAAATGCAAACTCGCTCTTCATGGTCTCTCTCTCTCTCTCTCTCTCACGGCTGCTCCGCCACGTCATTGCCCATTTTCGAATGTCTTTGTCATTCTTAGTGTAGTTGGTTGGTGGCTTGAGTCTTTCAGGTTCATCAAATAGGCTAAACCACGGGTTGGGATTTGGTGGCACCTTCTGCTCATTCATAAAATAATCAACTTCCACCATTCTCTGAATCAACTAATAAGAGTTATTATAGCTTAACCAGTGAATCAGTAATATATAGTAGTGTTAAAATTTTATTCACTCCATGCTTATATATAAAATATTTTTAATTAAATTTTACATATCAATAAAAATTTATTATTTAATTGAATTTACATAAAAAGACAATGATTTTTCAGTTTTACTCCTAATAATATGATAATTAATATCATGATGTAGTAAGAAAATATAATTAATAATTTATTTTATTTTTTAAGATAAGGATAAAATTGTCTTATTATTTAAAAATATCATAGTCAGTCCTTATATTTAGGGATAAAATAAACTTTTAAAAAACATCTTATATATAAGGACGGAGGGATTATAATAGAGCTTAAAGAGTCTTACTTGTTCTGTTTCTATATATAAAAAAAAAAAACTATTTCACACAGTCTTTTAAAGTTGGTTAATTATAATAATTATGTCTGAAAATAAAAAAATTAGATTAAAATGCCACGTGTTAATCAATATAAATATGCATTAATTATTTCTCATTAATATAAATTATGGGGAAAATTTAAAAAATGTGTAATAAATATTTATTAAAATATGTAATTTTATTTATATAAAAAACACGTAAAAAATAGTAATTTCTGTTATAAATAAAAACAGAGCAGTATTTGGCTCGGGATATATTAACCTCTGTTAAGTTCTCTTTAACTTGACATGGGATAATCTAAAATATTATTAATATGAACAAAAAGCGGTTGGGTAAATTCCAATAGCGAGCAAACAAGCTGAAAACGATTTAAATTCAATCTGTGGAGTCTTGGTTTAAGATTTTAAACTCAGATAAAGTGAATTTTAAATGAATTACCATATTATTATAATTTATAAATAATATAACTTTTTACATGTTGGTTATTATTTTTATAAAATATATATAACATCAATGGATATATATATATATATATATATATTAATAAATTACTGCGTCAACATCACATCCTTTTTTGTGAGTAATAAACAAATGTTATTGTGTTAGGTTATGTAGGCTTTAACTGAAATTAAATTTCTTACCGACCGATTGCAAGAATGCGTCTTTTATATTAATATAGCTTCTATCCATAAGCTTGTGTTATGCCCTGATGCCCTGTTTTTAATTCTAAAGAGATAGACGTGTTATTTCTTTAAACTTTCATATGAGATGCATTAATTATACGTAATGAAGACTCGATCATAAAAGAATGCACATAAGAGTCAGGTTTTTTTGGGAAAATACCTTTAAATGTTTTTTGAAAGAACTTAATATCTGACAAGAATTTCTAACAAATAAGTAAACACTAACAATAAATAAGTAAAATTTAAATTTTAATAAATACCCAATCCATTTAAGTCCTTGTCGAATACTTTTTTTAATTTTTATTATAAAATATTTTTAACTGTTTTACACATTTTTAAAAAAATTAATTTTTTTTGATATAATGAAAAAATGAGTTTTATTTTTATTTTTATCCTTAATTTTAAATCATGCATATGATGCAACTGTATAAAATACTTACTTGCTAATTAATAAATGATAAAATTAAAAAAATAATTTAATTATTACAATTTGTCTTACATTTAAATAAAAAATTATATTTACAAGGTATATTATAAATAGGATTGAAAGGAGTATTAAATTATTTCGGAAGTCTTTCTTTTAATATTATCCATTTTTTGGTATTGACAAAAAACCTAACTTCCCCAACCCCCCAAAAAAAAAATTGCACTAATGAACCAAGCATTTTTTGCATTGCATCTGATATCATAGATTAGATATGCTCAAGTCGAACTGAAAGGATATAACAAGATCCACATTCCACACTGATGCGGGTTGAGCAGGTTGCGAGATCCTTCTAACAAGTAGCAAGATTTTTTACCAACTATTTTATGCGACCATATTCTTAAAAACTTGAACTCTCTAGTCAATTTTATACAATAATTGTCTAATCAATTGAACCAATCCTCCACTGTGTCGTCAAGCTAGCTTCTTTATTCATGATTCCGAATGGCAGGAGGGATTGCGGGCGATGGAGGCAAAGAATACACGTAGGTGTCTGACGGTGACTGTGGAATATGTTTGGTCGCAATGCAATGCAATGTCACTTTCTCTTAATTTAGATTTTCTTTATTTACGGAAACTTCCCTCATCCAATATGTGATATTATTCGAAAGTGAGCTCCTGATTAATAATACTCAGGTGTCACCACATATATTAATAATATCAGTAATAAATATTAAATCAGTAGCAAAAGTTTTTTTCGCTTTGAAAGCAAGGGAGGATTAACGCTCAAATCAGTGCAATAATTAACTCCTCATTCTTAATGTATGGTTCCTGCCTATTTCTCAAATTTAGCTCAATTTTTTTTTGTTGGAAAAATACACCTCATTATATACTTCTTTCATTTTTAAATATAAGAAAAAAATAATCAATTCACTCAATTTAAGAAAATTGGTTAAGTATAATAATTATGCTTGAAATATAAAAAATGTGAATAAATTATCCTTATAATTAATGAAGCAAATTTGTCTAGTAAAAATAAACATTAACATTATAAGAGGAAATTTGTAGAAAATATAAGATAAACATTTCTTTTTTTTTTGGCCTAATAATATAAATATTTCTTAAAAATTGTAGTTTTCTTATAACTACTGATTACGATTTGTAACAGAAAATAGAAAGGAATTGGGAGAAAGGTTGGGGGGGGGGAGAACAGAGCTCAATATATGTCCCAGATCTTTTCTTCGTTCTTCATACGAAGAAGCAAAGATGAAGGATGATTAAAACAAACAAAATCTCCATCAAGAGAAACAGCTTTTCTAGCTAAATTTATGATGTATTAGTTACACTATAAAGAAAATTTACTGTTAGACGATTTTTAATTAGGTTTACTCCAGATATATATAATTTGGCATCTTTGAAGCTTAAAGTAATCCACTTTGGAAGCTCTCAATAAACGAGCAATCAATGTCATTCTAGCTACGTTGGCAAAATATTGAGAGTCATTCGAGAACTTTGTATATGTGTGTGTGTGTGTGTGTGTGTGTGTGTTATTGCTAAACATTCACATTTAATTAGTAACGAATTCTGATTGAACATCAGGGGTCAAAACTAACATGATATAAGTAAGACTGTTGTGTTGTTGGAGAAAATGCCAATAAATCAGAAAATAATGAAATATGCAAGTGGAGATCATAAGAGACGATAACACCGGTACGATGTCACGTCATCCATGTTACGCCACGTGAATAGGTGTGTTTGGTAGCACGTTCATGTTAGTTGCCAAATTAATTAGACAGCAAACCGGGAGTCACAAGTGTGTTATTTCATTTAAAAAAAATCATTATTTTTTTTTTGTCTTTTACGAGTGTTCTCCTCATGAAAACAATAATCATATTCAAACTATGATGAAATATTAAAT